AGATTTCTCTTCCACATTAGGATCTTTGATTTTGGTGAGGATACTTTTTGGCTAGGGTATGTCCCTCTTGGTGTTTCTGGTAGGTTTGTTATATGGTTTGCGATTTGCTTTTCACTTTTGTTTAAAAGTATTTAGAGTATGCTTCCATGCAAGTATGCAACCACGCATTCGCCAAAAAGGAATTTCAACCCGTTGACGAGCACTAACGAGTTGATATTTTCTTGTTGACCATATATAAATGTCCATAATCCCACAAATATTATCAATTATGACCAAAATACATAAAATAACCTAAAGCCAAGAACTCGTAACTAAATAGATATCATAAAGATTCATGATTGTAGAGTATTAGTAAAATCTAAACGTAACGATTCCATTTATCCCGCCGGAATAAATACTCACACCGTCTCATATTTCCGAGCAACGATCCAGTCACATTCCCCGCCGGATCCGCCGTAAATTTCACCGGTAAACCGCCGCATAACACTGTCAAAATACCATGTCCACTGTGTTCATTCACTCTGGCGACAAGCTCCACCCGAAAATCCCAAACCACGCCGCCGATAACTCCCGGAGTCACCACGTTTTTGAAACCGACAGTTGTCACCGGCCCATCCGTCTCGCCGGCATTAACAAGTTGTCCCAAAGAATCCAACGACGGAGATATCTCGGAGATAACCTCGCCGCCACGAAGGAGACGAGATTGCAATGTATAGAGAGAGAATTTACAGCCGGAGACTGGACTCTTGGCAACAAAACCGATTCTCCAATCAGCGTTTGAGGCGTTTGCGTTTGTGGCGGAGATGGAATTAGCAAAGAGCTCGAAGTAACAACTATTTTGTCCGATTAAAAGTGTTACAATACCTGCCAAAGCGAGAAGGACAATGGAGAAGATAAGAGTGCTCCAAAGGTAGCAAGAACAGCAATAAGATGGAGTTATCTCGACCGGACCAGTGGGTGGTGAACATTGACAGTTTTGGCGATTCAGACCACAAGTGGTACATTGAGACCTCGCCATGTTCAAAGTGGTTTAACAACTTTATGATGAAAAGATTAACCTAGTTATATTTTTAGATAAATTGAAAAGATGATTTATTTTCTATAATATAGGAGTGATAATCTTGCTTTTGTTGAAAAAAATAAATAAAACCGCAAGCAAATCATAAAAATAGAAGAAATAAAATCCGCAAGCAAATCTAAAGAGAAGCTTTTATGTTTATCTACTTTATATAATTAAAAGGAAATCGGAACTACATGTTATTGGGAATAGGATTTTTAATTATTTTTAAAAATTTTAGATTTTAACACGATATTTCCCAACCAATTAAAACATTTTAAGTAATACACCTAAGATAAATAATGTCCACGTCAGCAACTAAGAAATTGAAACACCAGAAAACCCCAATCGTCGTTCTTTGTTGTTGAATCAAATCGTTCGTTGCATATTCTCTCGAGAAGACAATCCAATTTTAAATCAAATCTAATTCCCAAAGCAAAATATCTTGATGCTCTGTCTATAAGTCCACTCATTATCTTCAAGTCTTCACTGCGATTGATTGGTTTTAGATTTTAGTATCCCACATCTTCTGTGTCGACAGACGAATTAGATGGTACTCCCTCCGTATTTATGATGAAGTTATGTATTGATCTCAAGGTTCTTACCTTCACACAGGGCGGGCCGGCGAGGATGTTGGTCGGAATTGGAAAACAACAACGGTGGCGAGGCGCTTCCGTTTGGATTGTTATGGTGGGTCATTTACACGCCTGTCTCTTGGTGATCGATTCTTCTTCTTTGTTTTCTTTTTGTTTTCGTGTATTATTGAATTTTGATATGATTGTGATTCTTTTTAAATTGCTTAAAAACTAATCGTCTTGACGGAAGATTGATCGCGAATGAATCAACTGCAATTTTTCTGATGTATATGATTAATCTTGTTTGAAAACTGAGGTTTCCTTCGGTGTGATATTATTTTGTGTTAATTTTCTTTCAAGTTCATGATCATGCTGTCTTCGTTTCTCTAAATAATGTTTTCAAATTAGTGGAAAGTGGATTTCAGTAATGTTTTGGAAAGGGATCACTAGATTGGTCGATCCGTAAGTGCCTAAAATCTGCATTTTACTTCTTTTCGAGCCTTGACCTCTTGCTTCTATAAACCCTTGTATGCATGTGTGTATTAGTCTATGTTTCGTCACTTTCTACTTCATTTTTGGACTAAATGGAGAAAGCTTTATTTAGAATGATGTCCTGGTTACTCGAGTGTTTTACTTTGGAGTTTACTTCGTTTTTCTATTGCTCTGTCGTTTTTAGTTTAGGGTCTAAAGTTTTTGGGGAGAATAAGTACGAGAAAGAGAAAAGTATGTTGTTCTCATGTTTAATTGGTTGGAAGATAGGTATGGAGATTATAAGGGAAACGAAAATGAAGGAGGATGTGGAGAATCCGAGGTCGATAGAGTGCAAGGTTAAATGTCAAGCGTCAACCTCTATCTTTATTATTCAATATTATTAAATTGACTTTTGTATTAATCAAGCGTCAATTTTTGTCTTTATTAATACT